TAGATCATTTGTATGATAGGATTGATTACATAATTTGATTATAGATTTATTCAAGATTACATATTTCATATCAATAATGGTTGATTCAACAACTAGAAGAGAGCTCATGAAGAGATTTGACATTAGATTTTGAGTCTTGAATATGACATGGTAGTGCTGTTTGGTGAAAAGATTGTTGAAAGTGAAAACATTTGCTAGAAGCAACATATATTACTTAGAAGATTTAGGAAAAAAATTGTCTTTTTTGCTTGGTTGTTGAGTCTTAGTATGTTGCAATTCATGTGTTGCATACTATTCAAAGAAATATAAAAGATCAGAAGTTAGAAATGAACTTATGATAGATGAAGGATCTTCAATAGCTATAGACAATGATATGAAAAAATAAAGTAAGCATTAAGACTCAAAGTTACAAGAGTTGCATGTGTTGATACTCGTCAATCGATCATATCCGTCACTATCATCGCATGATATCATCACTATCATTTACGTCAAACTAGTCTAAGTAGTTGAATTCCGCTTAAGCTTCATCATCAGACATAAATTTTGAGTGTCATCTGTGCTCAAGCATTTAAGTATGTTTATGTTGCGCATGTCACTTAGACAATTTTGAAATGTAAAACAAAACGTTGGTTCAAAGTTTGTTTGTGTTTAAATATACAAAGTTTTGAACTGCAGTTCAAAACTTTGTATATTCAAACACAATAAGTGTGAATTTGAACGATAATGGATTACGTGTGCAAGAATTTTAGAATGCTCAAATAACTTTTGACTATGACTAGCTCATGAATTGTTTTCTTGAGTTGAATAAATTTGTCTAAGTAGAAAATGACAAAGTTGATAATTTTGTCTAAATTGATGAACATCCAGCTAAAGTTCAGATTTTTGAGTACTTTCATCAACATGTCATTAAGGATAGTTAAAACCAAAAAAAGATGAGATGGTTTCATTCTTGCTATTATTGAATCTCCACATTTGAAGTGAAAGAATTAATCTTTTAATTTTTTTTAAAAAATTACTTCATACAATTGCACTTGCTATTACTTTAAACTTTGAGCTACAAAACCTGTTGTAGTGAGTGCATGATGTACATGATTTTTTTTTGTATGGCAATCAAAGAAGTTTGCAAATAGTCAAATATATTCTACATTTCTGTTGTCAAACAATATGGCATGATGACATGCAGCAAACAGACCATGAAAATGAGCAAATTCAACTTTTTGACTTCAATTATGATCAAAATGGAGTAATAAAACTTTTTATGAAACAAAATGAATCAAAGTTCTGGCTTTAGAGGATCCTAATCACAAAGAGTTGATTGTTTGAATTGGAGAAGAATGGTCAAATTCCAATGTCAAAATAAGTTGATAAATCAACAATTACAAGACTGGATGTTTAGCTTATTTGTGGCATTTGTCAAAAGTCAAAAGAAAGAATTGTTTTTATAAATAATGTTATGAATCACATCAAAAAATTGAAAAGACAAAATTACAGATTTAAATGAATATAATATAATATAATCAAATATAATGAACTTTGTAATTAACTCTTTCAAGAGTTACAAATCAACAATGAGATGAAGACTACTAATTTGAGCAAGATTTTGAGGCTAAAGCCGTCCATTTATATTGATAATAAATCAAAGTATCTTAAGTAGTATTATGATATGATATTTGAATTTAAAGCAAATGGATAAACATGATAATTAACTCAATTATGTAAGATCCTTGAGCAACAATTTCATTCCAAAGAGTTGTAGATCAAGTTGTACGCCTCCTTGAAGCTAATGTGCTTTAAGTTGAAGGGTTTTAGCATAACTTATCAAGATTGTATTGATGTTTTGAAAAGATTTCAAAATCTTGGAGAGCAATCAAGTGATGAGATTATGATGTTTCATCTTTTTAGTTCATTATTTACATATTATCAATATTGTAACGTGTGTTGTTTCATTTTGATAAACATACTATCATTTACAATAAAGTTGTAAGTGTTTTATTAACTTATGACTTACAACAAACGATAATGATGCAATCTCATTCATATTCTTCATGACATTTAATAGTACTTGAGGTTAATCACATTTACATATGGATCAGAATAGCAAGAACAATGGATATAGAGGTAGATTCAAAAATAGTAACATATACTTAGAAAATATGATAGTAGTATGTTAAAATTGTGACAAAAGTGATCACTCAAAAAAGACTATTGTCTCAAGATCAAAGTTGATGATATTTTTTTAGCCAAGGATTATGAATTGCTCGATGATAGATAATGATGCCAAAATATTGTTCCATACAACTCATCAAGTAAAATTTACGATATATGCATAATGCTTGTTTTTATGACATCTATTACATTAGAGTTATTTTGTTATATCTCAATTTCAAACAATGCAATTTTTATGAAGAATGATCGATCTTGTAGAAACAAAGTAATATGATTTTTTGGGATGTTTGATGAGATAGATTTGCTTGATGGGACCCATTGAGTTTCAATTTACCCGATGGGACCCCACGGACGGTGTGCCGTCACTGAGATCTATTAGATGTTCTAGTACGCTTAGCACCGCTTCAGAAAGTTAATCGATCATTTGAACATATTCTCGCGACATCCACGTCTTGAAATCTCAAGTCGAATAGAATTGGGCGCCTGAAGTTAAACTGTTCAGAAGATAGCGCTCGATCATCGCGATCTAGCAAGCATAAAAACCGAACCTTACTCCTCGTGATGCCATTAGCGGGCCGAGCTATTTTTTCATCTTCCCCACCTTATCGTCCCATTCCTCCCAAGAAAGTGGTTCAACAGGACTAGACTCTACTCAAGGAAACAAAGTATTACGTGCAGAAGTTAACACGAACTGTGACTCACGCACCGTCCTAAGTTCATACTAGAACAGTGTGACGTGGATCGTCGGTGGGGTCCCATCGGGTAAATTGAAACTTGATGGGTCCCATCAAGCAATTTACGTTTGGATGAGGTACTATCAAGCAAATGTCTGTGTTTGATGAAGATCAATTTATATTGATTTAAGTCAAATGCATATTTGATATGAAAAAAATCTTGTCTCTTATGAAACATAAAATTTAAATAGATTTGAATGAAATCGTAAAATTAAAGTGATTGAGTTGATAATATGTGATAAAATTGTGTTAAGAATACACAAACACACAAATCTATACATGTTAAAGAGCATTTTTCTATGTGATGAAGTCAATTTTATTGAACCGTGAATTGAAATGTGTCATGTATAACATTTTAGATTTAAATATATGTGATAGTTTTTTGATATTCTTTGGCAAGAGAAGTTTGTTTTTAAATATCATATCTCTGATTACATAATAGAATATTAAATAATACGTGATATTAATGTGTTTCACTTTGTTATCCATTACTTGATTTGCAACAAAATGTAACAATGAAGATTGACAATCTATTGTTTCAATCTCATAAGCCTATTCAACCAAACAACTTCCTTTGTTTTTTTCTAAGGTTGTTACATATTCAACTTACTTTGTACGTTGAGCGAGACATCTTCAATTAATGCATTCACCACCAAGAGTAAAAATATACTCAAATGTAGTTTTACTTTTGTTCAATTTTGTACATAGTCAGCATCAACATAGCTTAGCGGGGTTTTGGTATTTTCAAATAAAATAACAAACAAATACCATTATCTTTGGTGTTCTTGAAATACCTTAGAATTTAATTTCAAAAGTTTCAAATGTAGATTTTCAAGATCACAGTATCATAACTCAAACAATATCAAGTGTTATGCATACCTATCAAATACATGATGATGACTATTGCTTGGTACTAGAAAATTTTACTTTGTTGCAAATCTTGTAATCACAAGCTCCACGCTGTGACCAACACATCTTTTTACATGGATTTTGTATTCTAGAGACACAACTTAATGCTCTAGTTGTATTGTGATGTAATTAGCGTCATAGGGAACAGAATCCGGCATCTGCATGCCACTTTATGTTTGGAGATGCTTGTAGCGGATAGATATTTTTTCAAGGAAATGAACTAGGCGAGTCATACTCTTACATGCACTATATCCATGATACCGATTGGGATTTGCGAAAACTAATAATCTTTAATCAACTGTTCGATTGATTAGAATCTGATGTAGTAAGTACAAAATTGATAACTATTGTCCGTGGTGATATGCTTTTTTCAAAAATGTAATCTTCTTCTGACCTTTAATTAATTCACTCTGCTGATATCTCTTTTGTCCAATGCAGCTTATCGTTATGAACGGACTACATTACGTGTCAATGAAATAAAAGCATATACTCTATAATCTGACCTTTAATCATGTAAAGAAACTAATAACACTTCGGTGCCTCCCATGATACACCTTTTCACAAAGTTGCCTTCTACCGAGCTGGCTCCATTTTAATGCTTACAAATCTGTCCCCCTGTTCCTTATCGAGCCTGGAACTGAATTTCAAGCGAGCTGGCCCGAATCTGTATTTGCATCAGTGTCTCCCGTCTAGAGACCCTAAAATATTACTGATAAAATCCGTGCCCGGATGCCACAGTAATACAACAGGAAGAGTCATTAGAGTTCCAAAGAGCAACCATCCATGTCGTTGACGTGGTGTCGCCACCTGTCGGTATGAAGCAGTGCGACGCAGGAGTCGAGAGGAACCGATCAACGAGAAAAGCCTTGAGAACCTATCGGGAGAAGCAAGAATGCCGGGGCCATGGTAGGGAGTTGTGATGGCCTGGAAACCACGTTGGGAGGTAGAGCCGCATGGAAGCTACTGTGAGGGAGTAGTTGTGGATGCGGAGGACGAGGGGGGACCATGGGCGACGACTTGCGGCGGATGGAAGTGGAGGAGTGCGGACTGTGGAGTGGCTGTGGAGAGCGAGCTTTGGGCCAATCAGTCAAAGCTCTAGCGCTCTATGGAGCTGCGCGGAATAGGCCCCCGTAGGTTGACAGCTTGTGAAAGTGCGCCATCATCGTGCCTTGCGGGTCGCTCATGATCGGCACTTTCTCACGATCTTCACCGCAGAAGTCTTCGAGCCGCGGCCCCACCCGAGGACGTTAATTGTTCCCCGCAGGCATTCCGTGATTGGGTCTCATCGTCCCCGGTCCCCGGCCAGCCTGCTCGTCCCTCGTCCCGCCCGACCCGAGCGCGAGAGCAGATCTAGATCCTGTCCTCTCCGACGAAGCACAGATCCAAATCCGAGGCGACTGTCGATCCCGCGCTCGCTCGTCGGCTGGCCTCGAGCTCGACTCCATCTCCCGGTCCGGACGTTGGCCACGACGAGCAGCTGGAATAGGGCCACTCGAGACGCACGATCGACCATGAGCCGTAGAAGTAGCCTCGTCGCCCCAGGGACGATTTGAATCGGGATTCGGCTCTGCTGCTGCCGCGACATTCGATTCATTAGACGAAACCGGCGGCAAATACAGCAGAGCAGAGCCCAGCGCCATCGGCAGCAGCGGCAGTGCGCGCGAGACAAGTCGGGAGGGGGGTAGATCGCAGGCAGAAAAAGCGTCGACTGCCGAAATGGGGGGTAGAAGTAGACTCGTGAATCGCGCGATTTTGAGAACTCTGTCTCAACACAGCAGCAGCAGCAGCAGCAGCCCGTCGACCTTGCCGGCATCGGGCTCGGGTGCCAATGCCGTCAGGGAGGAGGTGAAGAGCCTGGGCAGAGCCGGCGGTGCAATCCTAGGCAGTGCGGTGGACGAGAGTGGAGCTCGAAAGGCACAATGGGGGGCGGGATGGGTCTTCGCCGCCGCAGGACTGGTGGGCATGTCGGGCGGGGCTGTCGGCAGCTTGCACACGCAGGCGGAGGAGGAGCCGAAGGCGAGCATTGTCCCCGAGGTCGCGAGGCCGGCCTCGAAGCCGAGGGTGGTCTTCGTTCTCGGTGGTCCGGGCAGCGGCAAGGGCACGCAGTGTGCGAAGATCGTCGACAGCTACGGGTTCGTGCATTTGAGTGCCGGTGACTTGCTGCGGGCCGAGATCAAGTCAGGCTCGCCTGATGGCACCATGATCCAGAATATGATCAAGGAAGGCAAGATCGTGCCCTCGTCGGTGACGATCAACTTGCTGAAGAAGGCAATGGCGGAGAGCAACACCGACAAGTTTTTGATCGACGGATTTCCCCGTAATGAGGAGAATCGCGCGGATTTCGAGAAGGTGACGGGAATTTTGCCGGAATTCATTCTCTTTTTTGACTGCCCGGAGACGGAACTGGAGAGACGGCTGCTGGGGCGAAATGAGGGTCGCGTGGACGACAACATCGAGACCATTCGGAAGCGATTCAAGGTTTTCATCGAGTCCAGTCTGCCCGTCATCGACCACTACGAGAAAATCGGCAAGGCGCGCAAAATCGATGCCACCAAATCGAGGGAGGAGGTATTCAACGCAATTGATCCCCTTTTCAGACCTTTTCTGGAGACTGACTTACAGCGGGCCACAGAGGTTCTTCTGAAGGGGATCGATTCCGGCGATTTGTCCACCTACGAGCGCTTCTGCGATCCCGGAATGACAGCTTTCGAGCCAGAGGCCAGCGGGCACCTCGTGAAAGGATTGGATTTCCACAGGTTCTACTTCAACAAGAAGGTTGCGGGTGGCAACGAGGCCGAGAATTTCCGGCAATCCACCGTAACCTCTCCGGTGGTCACTCTGCTTGACAGCAACGTGGGCCTCGTGACGTACACTCGATTAGTTCAGGATCGATCCTCTTCTGAAGTCAAGGCCTACAACGAAACGAGGCTCTGGCAACGAAAAAAGGTAAATGGCCAGTTTGAGTGGAAGAATGTTCACTTTCATCGTTCTTTGGCCTGATTGGAGCGTGAGTCGTTCTCTCGACCTTCCTGCTTCTTCGACCCGAGTGCGAGTCTGCATAATCTGCCTGCATTGGCATCATACCGGAAAACTGAGATAACGTCACGATCTGCGTCGATCGGGTAAGAGATCGGTGATGGGCCCTCAGTTGCCTGTACATCGACTAGTTAGATCTTATCAGCACGATGTAGTAGAACTCCATTTAGTAGCATCCAACGCTTCTTGTTGACATCATTTTTTAGAGGTTACATCATTGGAAGCATTCATTGACGCGAGTGATTATCCTCGTTCACTGCGAAGTATAAATCAAAGCTTTTGATCGGCATAGACTGCCCGTATCAGGCTCTCGGATAACGTGCACCCTTGCTAGAAATGCAGTTAGGGGCAGATGGCCCATTCATTACTCATTCATCTCCGCCAGCGGTAACAGCAATTTTATTAAAAGAATCGGTTCTGAGTTATAACAATCTCCTCGTAAGACCACTATCATCGAAGTTCAGCATATTGTGGCTGTATTTGTTGCTTTTGTGTGTGTCTTGTGGCATCGAGTTGAAGATCATATTCAGCTTATCGATCTGGTCTTGATCCCATGCTTAATGTGCGAGAAACCTTGCGGATCGTGAGCACCGCCTTGAAGAAGGGCATGTGAGCCACTTGCCTTCGCTGCGTATCACGAGTTCTTGATCTGCTGCGTGTGGTCAGTCGATGCTTCACGAACTTGCATCCAATTTCTTTTTCGTTCGATGCCTCTCAAGCCAACATCACTAAGAGGATCGAAAGCGCATGTAACAAATATAGTAAATACATGTAATAATCTAAATTTGAAGTACGAGTGCTTCATGTCTTATATAGTGTTCCCTCATCTCAGCAGGTAGAAAGGGTGCAAATAACAAACCAAACACTCCGTGGAAGAGGGATGGTTCGGATGTGAAGTTCTTCAGGCTGGACAAAGCCCAGTGAACACGTTCCTCTAATCTTTGCAGAGAAGTGAACTTGATCGTTTTGTGCAGACTGTGAATACTGTGTCCCATAAAGCTCGTGACCTTCCTGATTTAGCTTGGATCTGGTTTATACTCATCCATTCACTATCACACATGGATATATGTCCTGTCTCGAACTTCCTGGAGTCAAGCTGGGAATTTTGTCATCTGGAGAGCAATTTCAACGAACGCAAAATTTCAACCATCGCGTCCACATGAAATTCTACTTACGAGTGGCAGAGCATAACTGTTGTTTCCAAGTTGTCCAAGTCACAGGGTATCACTGTGTGATGGGGAACACCTTTTGGGCGGTAAAGCGATGAAATATACTTTGATCCAAAACTTTGAACTGAACGGTGCCTCTGCACGTTCTTGAGAGGAGACACTGTGCGGGAAGCATGCAACTCTAACATGGAACTGTACAGCCCAGATCCGAGTGCAGAAACGGAACAACAGCAGCATCAACAATGATAAGCTTTTTCTTGGAATGCAAAAGTTAATCCTGTACCATGCAAGTACTGCAATACTGACCGAGATCCTTGTTTCCAACAGAGTGCCCTAGTAGTCTACAAAAAGTACCTTCTTTTGCATTGCAAGAGTTTGGCCCTAGACCTTGGCATGTATCAATCAGTTACGATGACGTACAATGGGGGATACTCTGGAACCAATGACTGGTCTACTCATGGAAAGGGCAACGTGCAGATGAAAGAAGAGGAGAAGAGGGCAGCTAGAGAATGCACCCAAATCACAAGAAGACCGCCAAAAGTCAAGTCCTTTCAGTTCTTCGTTCCTACTCAACATCTGATGGGGGTAGGCTTTGAGCCGTCAGAAGATTCGCTGGCAAAGCCCACTAACATGTTACCAGCTTTTAGGGGCTTGAGGGACATACAGTTGTCACATGTGCACCAGCGAAACCAGAACAAGACGAGGTTCTGGCGGACCCACTCATCTCCCACCACGTGCACATCCCGTCACCTGGATCGCCACTGATCCGCCAAGTGGAGAATAAAGACAAGTTCCGGACGATGCAATTTTCGGCATTGTGAAAAATGCCAACTTGCAACCAGTTCACGGCCGATCGAGTATCTGTAGTTCTACTATAAATCTATGTGAGCATCGAATAGGTATAATGCGGATTAAAACTCTGGAATGCCAACGAGGAAACGGGAGGTCCGGAAGGCCATCTAGTCACAATCTTCAATTTGTAGATTTGGTGAAGAAAATTCCAATATTCGACGAGTTGTCGGTGTTGACGGATGAATCATCTTCATAACTTTAACGGAGCACGATGATGTAATTGCGAGTGCTGTAATGTATCTAACTCGATTCGAGGTAACCAGATCAAACGAAGAATATGAAAACAGAGCAAGAATTTTTTCGTGAACCCTGAAGTGTAGGCTTTACGAGATATGAAAAAGAGACTTCATTCATTCTCTTCAATGAAAGATCAAGAAATCATGTCCCGATTGAAAGCCTACACTTGCAGCAATCGTTCTTCATCCTTATGCAATTGTGATTAACTGAGAGGAATCATTCGAAACATTGTTCTAGTCATCCGCACCTGTCGTTAAAAGTCGTGCCGATCTTAAATCTGTTTTGGAGGATCAAGTCACTCTAATCACGCAACTTCTAATCACGCAACTGCGTTGAGTCGATGCATAGAAACAGAAAGAGGTCAGATGAACTGCTCACGGGAGTGAAATTATATCGATAACTCATAGTTCCAAGTACCAGGTAGAACATCTAGGCATCATCATCACTTCAAATTACGCAGATCACCCAGGAAAAAGCAAACTCGTGAAATCCGTACGAAGTGGATTAAGCTAAGCTTACTCGTTAACTGGAAACCGGTTCTGGAAGACAGTTCCGACAGCAATGTATGGGTTTCCACTTAAGGTTTACCAATTCGGCCGGAGAGACACACTTATTGAGGGGGGATTAAGAAGTGAAGCAGCTTGAAGAAAGAGATTTTTCTGTCTTCATTAGCAGAGAAAAGCGAGCGAGCAGTTGTAGCATATAGTTACAAGATATAAATCAAACTGATGACTGCAGCGAGGAGATTTCTAAGGATCAGCACTAGCTACTGCAGATAATTCAGGTTCTGTACCTTTCCTGTGAATATGTCTAGATTCGGCAGTCTTGATGAATAACTTAAAAGTTTGAGCCATCATTTCAGTTACATTATTTGGTGGTGGTGGCATCCCTGGCAAAGGATCCATCTCAAAGCTCCAGTTTACAACACTAGTATTGTCGTTGCCTTGACTGATCTTCATGTATCCATAATAGTTTGTGAAACCCAAACTACTTTGCTCAATTTTGTAAGTCTGGATGTGATTCATATCATCGTGTGAGAGCAGTCGCTCGTGGGCCCAACAGACTCCTTCGCTACCGTCGAGACTCCCACCCTTCACGTACCTGACACAATTAAGGGCGTTCCGTTCACCTTCGACGACCTTCACCTCCAAACACTGAGTCATGTAGGCTTCAGGTGAACAGAAATTCCCCATTATACTCCAAATCTCCTCGACCGGCACGTTCACTGGCACATGGACTCCGCATTTCCATGTCGAGGGAACTTCAGGTCTCGGCATACTTTCAGACTGAGACAGCTCCTCGGTAGGTGCCAAAACTGCTTCTTGAGTGATTGCCTCCTCAGACATACTTCGAATTTGTAACAGGCAGCAACTTTCTAATTCTGGTGACAATCCAAGCACATTGACAATAATCTCTATGAGTAAACTAATTTTCTCCTCTCGGGATGCACATATCTGGAGGGACCATCTTGAGCTACAATTGGCACGTCAATTTTTTGTGAGTGACTGCCAGACTTGACCTCCATTCACATCTGCCTCGAGAATCAAGTTGCACATGGACAGAGTTCGGAGAGTCGGTGTTGAGAGACAGTAAGACCCGCGGATCGTTTACAACATGATTTCGTCGACGATGAAACGAGAATCCATGTGGTGTTCTGTCAGACTGGTTCCATTCCCTGTCCATTTTTGAGACACATAAATTGTCCCAGATGGAGATCAAAGAGAACGGAACATAACAGCTCTAGGATTAACAGAGAGGTCAGTCAACAATGTTTTTCAGTTTTCGAATTTCCAATAAGCTTACCTGATTCTGCCGCAAGTGCACGATTTCTTCTAGCGTGGACGGGTTGTTCTGAGGAAGCAAAAGACATACAGTCAGCAAAAGACGTCATCGTGAAGAGCTTGCAGAAAAACCATAATCAAAAGAAGCACGTGATGTCGGAAGGCCGAAACTTGACGTTTACACCTCAATCAAGCAACAATTCATGGACAACAGCCCATTGAACCCGAAAGGCTCTCGGAGAAGACCTCTGCAGGAAATCTCAAATCTCACACAATTTCACTGGAGGAAAATGTATAACACAGATCCTCGAAGCCCAGAAGATTGTCAAAACGACGATGTCTGCATCGTGTTTACATAGATGTACCGTTTCCAGTAATTCTGGCAGTTGCTTCAACGTTCTTCAAAACTCAGCTCAGGTTGGCTTCTGCTGCAGCTGCTTTCCTAACAAGGAGATGCTTCAAATGTCACAAGACTGGTTCCACATTGGACAGGAGTGATAGAGATATTTATAGTTTCCATGCGAAGGTCAACTGCACCCTGTCGTTTTCCAGATTGTATTGCACGGATATCGTTATCTGTCCCCTTGCACTTGGCAACTGTTGAGGAAGATCCGGAGCGTAGCGTCTTAGAAGCCTGAAAGAAGGTCCACTATTAGTCTGAGGAACTCACCATGGAATGTTCATCACAAGAAACAAAGAAAGTCCAACCTTGAGGACTACGTTTTAAGGGCGCTCCTCTCGCCGGAGGAGAAGATCACGAGAAAGTACTGCAGATTCGACCGCGAACAAGAGTTCGGCAGAAGACGGGAGGCGGATTAACCTCCAAAGGTTTGTCTTGGCTTGGCCTTCAGAGGAAGAAATACAGCAAAAGGGATTAGGGACCCTGCCAAGCCGTACAAGGATGAAACCATACGGGAACCAAAGCTAGGTTCCAAAGTTTGAACCCCGAAACTTCAAATCGGATTGCACCGTCGAATCCGGATGCTCGGCCGGTGCAGAGATACAACAATTTGGTCAGTCTATATACAGCTACAGTTCGCACAGATCCAGGCTATTCTTGCTGATTCCGTACGTACCCTCCTGAATAAGCGGCTTTAACCTTTTGTGACAGTCCCCCTCGATATACCTTTCATTATGATCTGGGAGGGGTTTAGCAGTCCATGTCTGAGCCAAGTCAAAATTGTGGACAGTTCGTAATGTTCCTGTTGTCTTGTTCGTCTAGGCATTTATGTCATGATCTAATTTCGGAATCGTAGTGTCATCTATTCGTTTATTTTTTTGAGGATGGGATCCAGTTTGGCTTGTATTGTCTACACATTGCGTCAAGTGGTTCTTGCCTTCAATGCCTCCTCATTTGCATGCCTACGCCAAATGTCGATTCCTCCAATGGAGAAGCGGAATGTATAGAAGCTTCCCCTAGTCTGGAGAACTTAAAATTTGCAGGTCAAGTTGATTGAAGGAACAGAACAGACATTTCCTTCGCTGGAACTTGTACCAGTTGGGTACAGTTTCTCTAGTAATTATACATCAAGAAAGTTTCATGCCGACGGTCAAAAAGTTCTTTTCACCCCCATTTTTGCTTGATCCCTAAGTTTCGTTCAAGTAGATGTTCAGAATCTCATATGACCAAACTTCTGATAATAGAAAAACAAAACATCTACAGATCTTGTAATCACAACTTTTCCTCCTGACAGCTTGACGATTCGAATTATCTTATTAGTTCTCATATTATAAATAAACAAGTCAATACTTTACTGTTATTAAGTCAATAAGTCAAATATCTACAATTCAAGCCATTGTAGTCGTTTTTGAACCCCAGTTAACACCTTTGATACTTCATTATATATGTTTTGCAGAGGGTATCCAGCTTCATTACCTTGCTGAACATGGTTGACAGACACTCTGCCACACTATCGTTAACTCAGTCCATGACAAAACTTGATGTTGCATCCCACAGTCACCGACACTTGCAGTCCGATCCAAAAGTTGCTATTGAGTCCATATGATGGAATTTCTTTGCATCACCTGAACAACTGTATTCAAGTAACACTTGAACGATGAGCTGACGATGGTTAACTAAGATCTAAGGTGGACGCTGAACCAGGTTAATCTTCTGTGGTGTAAGAAGGATCTATTTGTCGTCCTACATGTCGCCGAGTTTTAAATTGTGGCTCACGTTCTGGGAATATTGGGACTCCTTCTAGAGACATGTGGCCACCAATCTCAATGAGCGTTTTAGCTCAACTGGGTCAACTTGATGAAAGGCATCTTGAATGATCAGCTGTCAAGTTTGTTCCATGTCCCTGCTGCTGCTGTAGTTGATCGCAGCACATGGGAACGAGGAGAACTATATGCTGTATACGAGTGCTGCCGACAGTCACGACACGAGTCTTCTTAGGGGACTGTGACCGTTACTAGCCATCGTCGTTCACAAGAATTTGGACTAGTTTCCATCACAGGAAGTTGGTCTTCACATAGTGGAGCTTCTCCACTCCCTCCCGGCAGCCAAGATGATTTCTCGACAACGCCTCCACCCGGCTGAGGATTAGAGGAAACTCTGGCAAAATGCCTTAGGGAGTCGCATTCAGGAACGAAAGGGTGGGACCATTCCTTCAGACTTTGTCGACATTGCAACTTTGTCAAGGGCTTATTATTTACAGGCGTGCTTTTGTTAACTAAAAGTTCAATTTGCAACTACACCTGTGTCGGAATCTAGACTTTGTTTGACCTTATGGTCGTCTGCACATGTGGGGCATACTTCGCTCGATGCACTGATTGATCTTATACCGTTGAATGTGTTCTGCCTCACGGCTTGAGGATTTTATTCGCTGAGAGTTGAGTACTCGATGACATGCCTACGGATTCAATCGCATCTTCAGATATCTTGTAACAGCAAGTGCTTAAAACAGACGTCTGTTTTCATCCGCATGGCTCATGTGACGCATTGACATCACCATGCGTCAGGTAGTGATTTCAACAAAAAACCTCCACGGCAGGACTATCAATAGGATTGCACGTCAAAAATGGGGATCAAATCTTGATAAGCTTTTAGGAAAGGTAGCAGAAGCTTTTATCTTTGAGCAACTCTGCTAAACTTTGTTCCACACTAAGTGTTTGATCCGTGTCCGCCGATTCCCACATTGTTCCTTTTCTCCGCAGCCTACACTAACTGTAACCGGTGACTCGCGAAGCTAATAAGTCGTGATCTTCTCTCTTCCTGTACTCCTAGTTACACTTCAGCAGTTAAACATCGTCCTCCACCTTCATCCAAGTACAAACGAGCCTTCTGTCTATAGTTGACCTATCAGTTGAGAGATAATCGATAGTTTCAGAAGAGTGATTTATTCTGAAAAAGTGAAAACAGCTAGAAAAGTCAGAGAGGAAACCATCTTCTGCTTATCATCAGAATCATCATATCATCATCAGTATCATCACTGGGCGTCTAAGCCGCACTATAGACCACGTGCGCCTGTTCGTCTGCAGTATGCAAGGCATCGAAGGAACATGGAGACGACTTGTTCGTCTATGGGCAAACTACAGACCAGGTCTAGTCACAATGTTCGATTCCTCAATCCGATTGTACGGTGCTGGACTGGGTAAATATGCGACAATAACGATTTCAATGGGCAACTTCAAACGCACCAGCGTTAGAGCTGAATTGGGTAGATAGGGGCGAACTTCTTTGCGCTGATATGTTTGTGCATCTGGATTTCACATTTACAGTGTCCAATCCTGCAATAACGATTTCGACGGGCAACTTCAGAAGCATCAGCATTTGTGCTGAGCTGGGTGGATAGGCGCAAACATCTCTCCGCTGATTCGTAAGGGCTTCGGGATTTTACATGTATCCAATCCAATCCTGCGATAACGATTACGATGGGAAACTTCAGAAGCACCAGCGCTAGTGCGTTGCATGTGCTAAGAAGGAAGTTAGACAGAATATTAGAAAGAAGAGTGGAAGTGTAATGAATGAACCTTACGAGTAAATTGGAAGTCCACGAAGCTGACACTTTGTGAGAAAATATAATTTGAAACTATCATCCGATTAAATGGAAGAGACTCAAGGGTATGAATCTGCGATAGCTCTAGAAAGGAGTATTAAATTGCATTCAACTGTTTTGAGGCGGAGTTGAGACACTTCACGCGCACCCTCATGGGCTTCAGATATCTTCGGAGGGAGATTGATGTACATCGCTGTACAGCTTCACATCAACTACTCTACTACTAGTCGATGTGTTGCTCGACCCTCTCGGTGTTGTTGCGTACAAATTATTGGTACTTTTTCTCTGTGATTGTAAATCAGGCCTTGAAATGAAAGACATCTGAATAAGAAAGAAAGAAAACACTGCAGAGTGAGCGGTGAAAATAGGACCTAGCGTACGAGACGGAAAGAAAGAGACAGATGAACTTAGTATATCCACAACCCCCGAGAAATTTTTTTCTTACTCGTGAGTCGCGTTAACAACAGGCACTACAAGTGGAGGTGAAAGAAAATTGCACTCAACTTGGCTATATGAGAAATCAAATTCTTTTTAATGAACATCCACCTGCTGGAACAGCTCATTTGTTGAGACCTTGCGGCTGATATCCTCAAGGTTGGAGGTTGGAACCCTCCATTTTGCGATCTCACCTAAGCCAAACTTTGCCGACGAAACCCCGATTTAGTATTTCTGTGCAGCATAGAAAGAGAATAAAAAGATCGTTTGGAGCAGATATTATTTTCCAGTGGTCACTTTCCAAACTGTTATGATTAAAGACAGTAGACATATAACTAACTACATGATATACATTCTTTCTCATCGTGAGAGTGACGAGATATCAAATCTCATTTGACTTTTCTCGATGTTCTTGTCTTTTCATTTCTTCTTTTCCGATGTCATCCACATGTCTGCTATTTACATTCTCTAATTTCTACCCATGTCTTTTACGTACTCTCTATCTCAATACAGTGATTAGGTCCCTTCTGGCCTGGTTCTTTTTGGAATTTGTTTTGCTCCTTTTCCTCGGTGGTTCTACGTCGTTCCTTTGGTTGCATGCGTCACAAGTTTTCGCTATGTAGGGGTTCACCTCATTATCATGATCATTGTCAGTCCTTTGGTCTTCTTTTGCAAAGTTTATTTACTTTCGTGTCTTTCATACCTTTACTGCCAGATGTTTTCATCTCTTACTGTTAGACATTCATTCATTTGGACTAACTCTCAAAGCAACACCGAGGAAGAAAAAACCAACGGCGAGCAAAGATAAAGATAATATCTCTCGTGATAATCATTCTATTTTCAACCTCACGGCTAGTGTGTCTTGCATGCATATCTTCCCTTTGGATGATATAGATGAAGTGTCACCAATCAAACCTGTATTTTTTTTTTCAATTATAGATGCTAGGTCAAGCTCTAATGTAATGGAGAGACTAGTTATACTCAATTTGGACCAATTATCCCTCACCCTAGGATAATGTGCACTATTTCTCTTTCCTCGCGAAGACTATCGCAAGGCTCTAGTAAATATAGGGATAGCTATGACCAATCATAAATCTCTGTTCTATATAATATAATAGGGTGAGGGATAATAATACTTTTGGCTAGATCAACGCACATGGCCAAGAACTCAAGTGTCGAGCGCCCGCCCGCCCTCTAGAATCTGTCGGGGCTGTTCTAGCCTGCATTATGATAAGCCCCTCCCCTAATGTAATACAAATATAATGTAATGAGTATGGAATACAAGACATGATAATTGTGCACTCTTCAGAACCACACGCGCACCTTACCCTCCATGTGGCTAGTCATTGAAAACTTGTGCACGCTACCCTGCATGTGGCTACTCAAATATAACTTGTGTAAGCAACCCTATGTGTGGCTAGCACAGATTGCTTATAAGAATCCACACCCGCTGATATTTCCAATAACTTACGCAGCTTTATGTACTTCATGGATAGATTCTAATTTTTATCCAAGTTAGAGTGAGCTTTTTATTTGCAAAAAAATAAAATAATATAATGCTATAAGATTAGTGATATCAATACCATTTTTTCAAGATATTTTTGTCGATGGATACATGTGTTGATTTAATAGTTAAGAATTATTAAAAAATAACATGAAACGGATTATGAAATTTTGGAATGAATTTTATGCAATCGCATCGTTGAGAAATGTGTGGAAGTTGTACAATTATCATGCTGCATCGGATCTTGAATGAAGATATCAAGTGTTGCTTGTGACAAGCATGATATATCATTGTAGATTGCAGATCAATGAAATCTTTCTTGGATAACTTTTCATTTATTCTAAACTCGAAATAAACTGAAAAATAATCATTATTATAAATAAAAACTGAAAGATAAGTGTAAAAATCTATGAATTTATCTAAGATCATAGATATTACACTCTGCGTTGTAACGTTTGAGTATAAGTCCAAATACATTTTCAAATGTATTTGGAAAAATAAAAATAATGTTATACACTAAATTGAAAAATTAAGATCTTAGATCGAAAGTTTTCATCTTTTCATTTCTGCATCTAACTTGAAATTAGACAAAAATTATTCATAAAAATGAACGATCATAATAAAAGGAAAATAAAAAATCGATCTCTGAATAAATTTTATAATCTTACAGCTTTTTCAAATTGCTGAAGCTCAAGATTTACTCTTGAGCAAAAAGTATTTCAAAATTTGCATGAAAGAATATGATTATTAATACGGTTCAAAACACATCAAAGACATCTAAGCTTCAAATCTTTTCATCAAAATGCATCTTGCAGCAAGATAACAAATACCTCTTATTTAAATGATTGAAACTCCATCTGAGACTTGCTTTTGCTTCAACTGTGGTGCTCACGAAGTAAAACAAGGGATCTTCAACATAAACAAAAAAGATAAATATCAACGTTTTTTCTCTAGATATTCTTCATTACTCAAAATAGTTTCAACCTTTTGTATACAAAATTGTTAACTTGCAGGATAATTAGCTAGTTTTTACAGTTCATGAAGCCTATTGTTAATATTGGTGGTGCATGACAGAAATACCATATTTTTTTTTGTAATTTAAAAGGAAAAAAGTGATGTTGATATCCATGTTCAAGGTTTGCATAATATATCTATTCTGAAGAAAATGTGGAAATTTAAAAACTGTATTAAAAATTATCTGTCAACAATATATTCATTGAATATTTCAATTCAAATCATCCGTCTAAAATTTCATCAGAAGATGAAGTTTTTTAGTTTCAAAACATGTCAACCAGAATCTCACAATTAATTAAGAGATCTAAGTTTCATAATCAAAGGTGAAAAATTTCTCAGTAAATCGGTCAATCAACTACATGAATTTGTGACAAAGATCATTTTCTTAATAAAATAGTTAAATTTTGTCAATCATTTTATCATATCTTTGCAATTCTGTCAATCAATATTACGCTAGTGAAGGTATAAATTTAATGTATACTATACAAATAACTTCATATCAAACGCATTGATATATGACAATCAAATTCATGCCAAAGCATCAACATAGAGTTGTTTATGCAATTTTTTTCCACTTTTTGAAGTAAAAGAAATTCCATTACAATGCTGCATAATTATTGAAATTATTTTTGTTATGTACCATATTGATAAATATATGATTTACAGTAGATACCACATAAAGTGTAATTCATCATATAATCAACATAGATAGACATTAGAACAAACATAGAAATTTATTACTCTTAAAAAAATGTACAAATATCATTAATCAAATTCTTGATCAAATGATATCAGAATTAATTCAACATAAAAAACACACACAAAAAATTATTATGATCCTAGATAAGTTAAATTTAAGTATCTTGAACTTAAAATATACTTTAAAGTAGATTCGAATCAATAAAATTTTGAGAAAGTATCGACCATCCTTTCAGAACTGAAACACAATTAATTAGATATGTTCCAAAAATTCAATTTTTTTGCCTTGCCATAAAATATAACATAGGTATTACTTCAAGCAAATTATCTGTTTTTTAATCTACAACACGAGTCTTGAAATTTTGAGAAGTATCGACATTCCTGAATGTAAAATTTATATCAAGAAACTTTTCAAAAATAAAAAAGATTGACTTAAAAATTTCTTAAACAAATTCGCAGTTTTTCATCTTCAAAGCAATTTGAATTATTAATTCTATTTTTCCTTTAAGTGTGAAATATTTTAACATAAAAAAGTAACCTTACTTACTATTTCAAGATGTGTATTTTACTAAACATGTCTTGAAATTTTTAGAAATATCAACACCCCAAAGATTTGAGGTTTATAAGCATAAATATTAAACGGTGCAAAAAATTGAATAAAAAATAATTCAAATAATGCTTGTTTTCTTTGTCTTATGGCCAAAACATCAATTGACAATAATTATTTTATTACTTCGTTTTGATAATATGAAACTTTTTTGATCCTCTTATATCCATGTATTATGAAATTGTAAAGTCTTCGCATATATGAATGAAAGAATGACTCACGAATTTTTGTACTGACTACTGAATTTTTGTATTTTTTTTTCTGGGTTGATATGAGTTATAGATTTATTTTCCAGATTTTTATTAAATATTTTATAAAGAGGAAAAACATGAGCAAGTCAAAGTGATACATGTTTCATTAAAATTTTGGTGAAATGAAAATTCAAATTCTTTTAATTTTATAAATTTATTTTTTGTTTTTTAATGAAAAAAATGCATATATTTTCAATTAGATAAAAACCTTGATGATACATGTAGTTCATTCATTTCTTTCTAGATATTTAACAATAGATCTCACATTTTTTCACATCCTTGATGAAGACAGTATAAATATACATCAAACACATTCTAAATTGTTGTAGCTACTGTAAGCTTCAAACTAGAATATTTATTCATAAGGTAAATGGTAACCCTAAGGAAGTAATAGTGTATATGGATTGCAAAACCAGCAGTAGCATAATATATCCATATCAATATGGAATATGTTGAGCTTATTGAATGATTATAGAAAACTGAATAATTTCTGTAAAAATTTGACGCTTTTACAAGTTCATGAGAGCAAACTGTAACTAAAGTAATGCTATTGCCAACTTTAGACATACTTTATTGTTGTGAAGAAACTGAAGCTCATATGCATAAAGATACCAACATCGTTAGTTTTATTGATAAAGGAGCTGAGTGATATGTTAACAATATAGAAATAAAAATAATGTTAGATGCTTATAAAAAGTCATTTTTTAAAAATTTTGGAAGTTTTATCACTAAATCATTTTACGATACTAAATTCAACTTTGTATATCTGAAATTTATTGTTATCAAGTTTACATCTAATTTCGAGATAAAATAAAACTTAAAATTAGACAAACCAATAAAATTTACATCCAATATGAGCATTTTATTTTTTAATGTAAACTATGAAGCAAGAAGAATAAATTGGTGTTTAATAAAAAATAATTCTTTACAAATCGATCAAACATGAGAAAACAAGAAACACATGCAGATATACTTCTCGTTATCATAAGATCAAGAAACATTTAGAAGTCAAATAAAGGAAACGTTGCAAATGAAAAGAAAAAATTTAAGAAAAAGTGGAAAAAAGTGAATGCATAGATATGGTGTAGCAGAGAAAAGAATCTTCTTATTGGACAAGAATGAAGAAGAGTAAGTAAAGATGCGTAACATCAACATCCAATGTCGAGAAACAACAGAAAGCGTGAAAATTTAGGCCTACTCGGAAAGGAGAGATAAGTGTATGTAACTAGAGTCACCTGTAGGCTTGAGGACCTTCTAAGTTTATATAAGGCTACGCGGTTATTATAGGGTCATTATATTCATAATGTTATTATAACACATAGTATGTCATATTTTATATGAAAGGGAAACGGAAGTACTTCTGACAATAAAGCTCTAGATTCGCTGAGAAGAGACAAGGCAAGGCACTGATTGTACTCTGATGTGAATGACACTGACGCTCTCGATTTGATACTGAGAGTTGTCACAGTCTAAAACCAGAGTATCTCAATCTACTGGTCGAATTTGGACTGGATGGAACAAGAGCTTGAAGGGAGATCAAGTGAGAGCTGCCGGAGAATATTTGTGTTGGGCATAGTAAGATTCAGCCGTTTTGATCGTCGTTCTCAACGAGTCGGTGAGCAAGGATATGACAGAGGCCTCCGATTCTCCAGGCATGGAATCCAACTCTACCGACCATTGCACGACAGTGGATCTGTGCACTCCCGGCACCAGGTGGAGACGTCGTGCAAAATTGACGAAGTTAAAAGTGTTTTCGAGCATGACGCAGCCAAGAATGTAATTGCCATCGTCCCTCTCGACCACACGTTCGGTCGATGTTTCGATTCTGTCCGATCCGTCAAGAGCGGTGGTGGTGATCCTTTTGACGCAATTGACCGCGTTCCTCTCGCCTTCGATCAGCTCCTCCTTGCACTGGGGCACAATGTTCTTATAGTCGCAAAAATTACCGAAAATTTTCCATGCCTCTTCGATTGGAACATTAATGGTTTCTCTGATTTCCCCTCTCCATTTCGTCGTGCCGACCTCCTCCATGACTTCGATCGTCTAGACCAGAGACTGCAAGTAGAAGTCATCATACGACAGGACGAACTTATATAAGACACGCATTTTCAATCTCAAATCTGGCAAAGAAGACCGTCAACGAGCCGTCAGACAATTCAATCGCATACTCCGATCTCTCACAACGTCCTTCGAATTTCAAAAAGGCCGCAAGTGGCGAGCAGACTCTGACGATCGAAAGTCGGAACGATGCCATGAGATACAAATGGTGATAAATTCACAAGAAACAGATGTTCGATTATTGCTGCAAGACTCATCGTCGGCAGCAGCCAACATAGAAAGTTAAGCTGTCAATCGGTCCCAGGAAAGAGTAGCTAGCGGGAAGGGAAGAGACAATCTCACTCGAGTGGTCGAAGGTGGCGGACGAGCGTCCTTCCACTTGAACGGATGAGGATGGTCTGTGCTCCAAGGGTCTGAAGTCGGGCCCTCTCTGGTCGATCTTCGTCTATAAAGTGTTCAGAGAATCGATCGCCGCAGGTCGAAGTTTGAACACAATTCCAACCAGGTGTGACGAGAAGTCGTGATTTGTGTCCACGTTGGCCCGCGAATCTTCTGCGTTGGCATACTGTGGGAGGAGATGGACAGATCAGAGCGCCCAGCCACAAGCGAGCGACAAGGGCAAGATCGAGGTATTTCATTGGTCGTTTTCTGAACACTCTTAAATATGTGCTTTCGCTGTTGCCATGGTTTCCGTCAGAAAGCTGGCTTACTTACGTTTGATATTGACGATACGACAGGCTCGTCCGTTCTCATCTGCAGTCTTCGGATGGCGGGCTGGATCGGTTCCTTCTTTCCCTTTCGATCGCAGTTGTCCGAGTGAGCTAGATAGATGACTGTCTATCATCTGTTGAACATCACATGTCTGACGTGAATCGAAGAAGCGACAAGATCTGAAAAACCGAGATATGTCTGCTCCTTTCGCGACATTCATATCCTCTGATGTGGAATTGGGACCAGGTGATGTGATGGCTCCAGTGAGCCCGAAACTACACCTTGCAAGTCCACTTGCCGCTGGTTTTATTGCCGTCGCAGATATCAGGTTGTCTTTGGAGCAGCTCTTTCTGCACATTTTCGACGAGGTGGTTACCAACCTCAGATGCAAAGAGCAGCCAAGTTCTCGACGGGGCAACAAAAAGTTTCTGACGAGTTGTCTGAATTATCTGATTCGGAAACGGTGCTGTTTTGCTAGACCTACTGGAGTGCGGTGACTTTTACAGATTCTGAAGTTTCTCTCCACGAGTTCCTTGTTGCAGAAGCCGTTTTGACCGTTGTGTGACAGGGTGTGAGCGGTGTGAAGTCTGACTGGAGTAAAGGTTGTCAGACATGGATCTCATACAATCAAATGTGGATTTGTGGAGCACCGCTAATCCGAATGTTTGAGCTCTCCGTATCCTCTTTCCAGAATGGTTGAACGATGTACTTACTTCATTTTGAGAATGCAATCCGTTTTCTGTCAATAACGGTGTTCTGATCAGCTGACTGAAGTTCCGGTCGGTTGAGTCACTCATACCAAGAAGAGAGTGAAATGTCCACAATTCAGATGCTGGTTAATTTTTCTGTGGCGTGTAATTATTTATGTAACTGATTTGAGGTGAACCGGGTTGGCAGAATTGAACTAAAGGCCTCCTCTACCCCAGCTGCTGGGGTAGAGGAGTATGCTGGGGCCCAGCATACAACTAAATACTGTTGCCTCTCATCTCTATACACCTCGTGAAGAATGAAAGACTTATTATGATTTGATTCACTTATTTGGTTTCCATATTTGCTTAAACTTGAAACATGCTGGAGCTGCGGGTGGAAACTCTTCCAATAGGGAGATTCCGAGATTGAACGTGTACAAGACCTAAAGGTTGTTTTGCGTGATTGCTAAATCCAGAGGTTTGTTGTAAGAAGCCTATCCAATCTTCTCATTCTCACGCCGGACCTATAGCCACCATTCAAAATTGGGCAGGACTATTTTTTCCGAATTCTTCAGAAATGGTTGTTCCATGTTATGTGCTTTAATTGGCATCTTAGTGGTAACTCGATGGTAGTCATATCATGGAGTTGAGTCCGTTGTCGTTCTCATGGTACCAACATGCAGATCCGGCTGTTGTTGAAGTCCAAAATTGTAGAACAAAAGGCCCGTAGGCCTTAAATCGGAGTCAGTGTTGGCTGATTCGATTCTGGATAAAGCTAAAGCTTATTAGCACCTTGGAATTTGACCTTGATTGTCAATGATTATTTGATCACGGCACTACTCACCAAAGTTGTAGCTAGTTCAGCTTTCAGGTCTATGCACAATGCAATACAAGTCTTTCTAACGTTTGGTGACTACAGAAGAGTACCCATCTCACAGAAACCATGACAGATTTGTTGGAAGATGTTGCTATAGTAACCGGATCCAACTTCGAGGGCTCTTGTATCTGCACCTTCCAGTCTCCATTCTTCTTTCCTGATACCTCTCACGTTGTCCCTTTTCCTACTATTCGGTTTGCACGTGAACACATTGACGTTACCAAGGATGAACTTCGTTGCCTCACTTTCCTATCGCTCTGTTCTGTTCTGTTCCCTACTGTTGTTCATGTCCCTCCGACTGTTATATGTAATCCATTACAGACTGGCGCATTAGCTTTTAACCAATTGCAACCGACTGCTGCTCGCATACAATTTGTTTCAACGCGAGGACCAAGGCTCCTGGATGCTTCTGGTGGGGCCTTGGGATGCTTCGTAGATTCTGTCTTTGAAACTGAGATCGATGACGGTCCTGGATTTTGTGTTTCGAGTTGCAGAGAGGAAAAGCATGAGATTACACCGTCTAAAGTTTACGAATATACATGTTTGAAATGTCTTTGGAGGTCCAAAATTGGAGTTAGCTTCAACTACGTCGCATCACGTGACACAAAGAAACGCTATAGGGATCTCCGAGCTCATCACATCAGAGACAGAGCGGGGCACCACACTCTCACCACGGGTGCTGATTGGTTTAGTAAACTTGTAGGAGGAAGCCTTATTAGGTGAGAGAAGATAATGATGACGTGCCGAAGCTGCGAAAGTGGAATTCCAGAAGTGATGCCCAGCTTTTCGCTTTTCAGAAAGAGATATTTCGAGTTGAGATGAAGTCCTTCCTTGACATGCGCTGTTTCAACCGCACCTCCGTAGACATGCAAAGGGTGATGAAGAGCCAACTCTTTATCAACGGCATGTGGAGACGGAGAACCCAATGAGCTTGGAACGTTTCACGGGATTTCGAATGAGAGTTATGTCCTCGGCGTGCTTCCGATCAAGCCGAACTGTTCAGAAAAAAACGCTTCGCCACTTGCATAATCTCGTAAAATGTGGCATCGAGTTGGAAGTGTAGTACGCTCGGATTAGAGGTCGAGAGCCAGTCCATTCAAATGTTGACCAGCCTCGTGATGAGAACTCGGCGTATGAGCATCGAGAAACTCGAAAAGTCAAACGAGGAGAGGACATCCCAAACATCAAGCGAGGACCTTCAGAGCGAATAGCCTGGGGAACAATGTAAACCTCCCCACAACACTAACTCAGATGCCATCGGGGGCATCGGCATTGCTGCAGATCCGAGTGCAACTCCGCAACTGGTTGGCAGGAGTATCAGCACCAGTGGTTCCTACAATTGCTCCTGTAGATGCTCCCACCTCAGTCTTTCTAGCTCTTCAAAGTCCTATCCGTTTGAAGCTGCGGCATGCATGCGGCTCTATTCAGCTTTAAGGTGATGTTCCTCCCTCTACCTTCCCCTTGAACACGATCATCAAACTAAGTCACTGCTTCCAGGATCCTTGGACTTCAAATGCGCGTGTGTCCTGATGCACGCGCATCCCGTCAACAAACAGGGTGCCACTTCGTGAGGAAACCCAACGGACAGAAGCATAATTATGTGCTCGTCTTAACTGCCAGCCGGTACGGTTATCGATGAAGTCAACGAGGCTGTTCAAACGATTCAGGTCTCGAGATTATGGTGTCCTGTCAGAGTGATAGCATATGGGCCTGCATTTCATTGATGAGATTTTCTTTTGACTGAGAAAAGCCAAAAACCAAGGGATTGACTGTAGACTGTACTGGGTATCGACTTCGAATCTATTTAACCCCGGTATGCTTCTCTCCCTGACCAGAATTAGCACGAGCAGCCCCTCCATCGGGCAGATATATTAACTCTGTACGACAGGTACAATTTCCACATCTCTACAATTTACTCGATCAGAACTATTTGGTTCTACTCCTTACTTACGGTTCATACAACTCCGGTCCGATACATCGCTAACTCTCTTCTACCATAGTCCAACTCCAATATCTGGTTTCGATTTGTGCTCTGCACTACTACGATTCGACGTTTGCAGCTCTATTCGGAAATACACAACTTGGTACTTGGAGGTATATTGGGTACAAGCTTGGGCAATAATCTGCTTTCTCATTGCTCCTCGTCAACTGGAGTTTACATTTGATTCGGGGTTATTTGTTCTTATGATTATGGTTCAGCCGAAACCACATTTTTCTTGTTCCTGCTCCTATATTTCACTGTATTTGCAGAGCATTTTGGTGTGAACATGCTCTTACTACGACTAGGCAATTTTGTGTTTCTTTTGTCAAGAGCATGAAATTGCTTCGACACTACAGTTTTACCTTACTGTGCGCCGATTCATGCCTTGTGACAGGACCAGGACCGGGCCCCGAAGTACTCGTGATTGCCTAGAGTCGAGGGCAGATGGAGGATTTACAGCAGCCACCTGCAGATGCAAATATATTGCGGAGGTGCGGTGACGAATCATGGCAGTTTTTGAGCGACTGTTGGCGTCAACGAACGTCCATCACCTACTGCAGTACGAGGGAAAAGAACGAGGGAGAATCGACGCCAAACCACATCACAATCACAGCAGGCGATGGAAGTTCACTAGTTGAAGGAGATGGAATTGCTTGGTCCAACGACGGTTTGGTCTCGGTGGATCAGGTCAATACCCGTCGGGCCTTCGTTGAAGAAGCACATGACTTGCAGAATGGAGAGAGCGAAGAAGAATGTACAATGTTTATAAGAGGCAGCAGTGACGTCTCGTACCGTTAGCCGCAGTCCGAAACAGCTTAGGCTGACAAGGCTGAGCACGTCAGCTATCTCTCTCTGTGAAATAGAATGTAGTACCAAATTTTCCATCTTCGCTCGCTGATAACACAGACTTCCATGGTTGAAACTGAAAATTGCTCCTATCCTGTATCATGAAATCGTCTGAAGCTGTATAGCTCAGTGCATGCTGTGACAGATTCGACATCTTGCTGCAATGCTTTTGCATGGCCTGAAGTTGTGACTTCATGTGGAGCAAAGAATGATGTTCAGTAAGTGCTGAGGTGCACCTTAGCTGGACACAGGTTGACAAATACTTATTAGGATGTGTCTGCCGTTGCACGAGGACGGGGTATGTTCTACATGTTCTCATGCACTCACTGTGGATGAGTGCTTGTTACTCCGGATATAAGCAAGTGTCACACCGTTCAAAGTGAGTGTTACACCTGATCTACGTAGGTAACTTGTGTCAGACAATCAACTTCTTCACACTTAATACGTCCATGATAGCAACTCAGCCCACCGTCTGGGTACGCTGATAAACTTATCATATCTGACAGTCTCCTTGTACAGAATAGTCTCGGTGATGAAGAAAAAAGCTGTAGATGCTAGATTCCAGCCGAGCCGAGGCGGATATACAAAGAGAGAAATTGCGAGAGTATCAGAGGTTTGGTAGAATCGCAAGAAGTTAAAAGACAGCTTTCAAAGTCATGAGATATTTCCCCGACTGTACGTATCTTCTGACGACGATGTATTGCACATCAAAATCTCATGTAAAAATGTTCCAACTCAATAATTATAAAGAAAAGGGCTCATAATAAACACGTTTTAAGTGTTCATTCAGGAGGCATAGGGTAGGTGACGGGCGAAAGTGTCGTACAACCATTTGGCAGGTGGTACTCCAAATATATTTTTATATTACGGAAGACCTGCAATAGGATACTGTACACACATCATTTATAAAGTTCAACTGGGAAGGGACTGGAAGGACTTCACTCTGGGTTAGAAGATATCGGAACTGGCACGGAGACTCACGCGAAGAGGGTGAGGGCTGCAATCGGAGTGCGGAAGCTACATCCTCCACGATCGTATTAGAGTCCGACCTTCTTGCTTCCCTGGGTTTCCTCAGAGTTTCTTCCCATCTGCCAGGTTCATGCGTGGTGCGAGTTTGTTTTGGACGAAAAGGTATGTTCAAATGGTAGCCCGTTCTCAAATGCTCGTGGTGAGAATGAACGTGGAGCTTACCGAGCTCAACACAATGAACTATAGTTAAAGAAGAAAACGAAGGCTTATTCTGTAGAGCACCCACTGCCCTATATATTGTTCAATTCATCGATTCACCATAACTCTTCTTTGTGAGTAACCTGACTTAATTTTGTTAAGAATCGATTAATGTTGCAGCCATCGAAAGGACTAAGCAGTCATCGAATAAGATGAAAATCATCGTCATCCTCTTCATAGCAGCAATAGAACAGGACGTCAAAGTCACTGAAGGGGCATAGTTCTGACCTCTTAGCTTCATCTCTGTTTCAACTGGTCATTGCGATACCATCGCTCTCCGCTAGTATTGCTCTCCTGTAGGTGCTTGATGCCTCTTTTCTTCATTCTGCCACTGTGATTTCACATTGGAAGCTAGTTTATCTCTCTAGACAAGTCCTCATTCCTGAAGCCCTACTTTTATCTTGATTGGTTGTTTGCTTACTACGTATGGTTCACCGATATCCTGCATGATTCTAATTTGATGATACCTCTGCTAATCAGTCGAACCTTCAGCTCAGTTCGTATATTGCCTCGTTCACACAAAGAGATTCTAATGTTCACAGTAGAAATACAGAATGTAGGCGCTTGCGGCAATATGTTGTAGTCCGAGAATTTCAATACTCTTCCTTTGTTCCACAATTTGGAGTTGAAACCATAGGACCCAGTCAGATAAAAGTCTTTACTTTCTTCTCATCGTTTTGGAACTGATTCTCTTCATTGTTTGTATCAGAGAGGTTCAATTCACTCTGCGTCGAGTTACTGAACTGATCCCAGATGGCAGAAAGACTCAAAATGTGGGGAGGTGGCGTTGCTCTGACGATAGAAGTGCCAATTGAAGAGGCATGGGATGCTCTGGGAGATTTCTGCGATATAAGCAAGTGTCTGACGTTGGATGATTCTGAACGATCAACCTACGAAGGAGAAAGAAACAGTCCTGGTTGCATAAGGCACGTGATAAGAAGAGTCGAATGGGCCAAAGAGGAATTGGTGGCCATAGACTCCAGAAAACACAGCCTCAAGTACAAAATGTTGGAGAACGGGTTCGGATTTACAACATATGAAGCTAGTATAAAATTAAAACAAGTAAGCGATAAGAAGACTGCTGTAAGTTGGACCGTCAACATGGCACCTGTTGCTGGAAAGACAGAATCTGAGATATTGACTAATAAGATGTGTAAGGCATTCGCGCATGGGATCAAGAAAGTAGAAGCGGACTATCAGAAGAGAGTAGCCTTAAGCTCCCTTTAATCAGTCATGTTTGAGTTCATTTCTCTTCACAATTATGTACTCATGTTAAACACTGTACATGAATAAAGTCATGAAAGTTATTTTTACTGTGGATCTTCATTCAAAGGAAGGCCTAATTGGATGTACTGCAAAGGTTGTAGTGAAACAAAGAGCTCTATTCCAAATGAAGGTCAGACTGCCCACCCCATACATTTCTCTAAGGATTCTTCAGCAGTTGCGACTCGCACTATCACAATTGTTATTTTATCAGTGTGAAGTCTGGCATATCATCATTCTAATTACTGCCTCAAAAACTTTTCTGTAGTGTCACCTCTCCTCATGATAGATCCAGCAAAACTGATCATGTATAAGAGTACAGCATCATGCAGTACTGTGAGTGGGCCGGGCAACTAACGGTATAGTGGCAGCCCTCTCATGCTAATCAAATATCTCGGTGTGACCTCCTGATTATGCGAACTCACTTTGAAACTGCAGGAAGAACATTAACACCGAAGTGAAGTAGGCTGATTATCAACAACCCCAGCCACCCTCCCCAAAAATAAAAGACGGCAAAGTGCTTAACGGAGATGCTTCATGCTGTGCATGTAGGCTTTTTCAATTGATTTGAAATTTCTGAGTGTTCGCTCCCAATACTTACATTACAGTGCACGCAGTTGCTGTCTTTCTGAGGAATGGATCCAAAACAACTACATAATGTGAGATGTGACGATACACTACCGTAGCATGCTCCCATGAACCATAGGGAATAATATTGTTACAAAAAATATGCACTCAGTGCACTGTTTTGAAACAGTTGATGCAAGCAACTGTGATATGGATCAGTACTGAACTTAAAATTTTCAAAGCTTAATGCGGAGATATCAAGTCGTTGTAGTATAGTGGTAAGTATTCCCGCCTGTCACGCGGGTGACCCGGGTTCGATCCCCGGCAGCGGCGCACTCATGGGTCAAAAGCCCATCCTTTTGCTAAAGCAAATATTTAGATTCTCCTTTCCTGGTCTTCTCATCTAAGCATTGGCCACGGAGAAGGAGGTGGGAGTCATACAAAAGTAGTCCTCTTGGCTTCGGCCCGGAGAATAAACGTACCGTCGTGGTTTTGTATACACGTAGCTCTACGTTCTGTACTTTCTGTTCTGGACTAACTACTCAACGATACACCTGTTGAAAAGGGTTCAGGGACATGTTTTGTATCCACTGTTTTGTATTCTCTTCAAGGGTATCTGCTTCTCTCACACTGTTCGTCGATTCTCGTCTGCTCATGTTTAGCTCAACTAGAAGTGTTTTCCGCACGAGGACATGCCAACTCCTGCTCTTCAAAATAGTATCTTCTCCTCTATATCGGGTACGACTTGATGGGGTCTTCCCATCTTTTTTGGTATTTTACTTTGTACCTGTCTCCACATCAGGACACCTCGTACAGCAACGATGTGCTGGTCCCAGTGCATGCCGAATCAATAGTACCAGAACGAACTTGATGCTTTCATACAACGGGATCACGACAAGCTTCATGTAAAGTTGTGAACGCATGAAGCTGAACAGGATCGAAGACAACTCGACGCCAGACCGAAAGCACACATGACGTTGACATGTAAGGGTCGCCAGACTAAACAGGACCGAAGACCTGAAAAGATTCTTTGGATGCGGAGATGTTGAGGCGAATGAAGAGTCTCCTGACTTGCCAGCGTTTGAAACATCAGATCCAGGAAGTGATATCCTTCGATCGGATAAGGCGAAGTCAAAGGTACGCATTTGATACATAACTTGCTCAAAATAGACCGAGCGTTGCTGTTAGAGCAAAAAGAAGCTCTCGATTTCTGATGGGCAATTTCGATCACTGGAGCTCTGTAACTGTTTGCCAAAAGTCAAACAGGCTCTTCTTAGACCTCCTTTTAGTAAGTACCTGCTAGGAATATGTATAGCGTATTGATCGATCACCAGGTGCTAGTTGGTGCGTGAGAGGGCGAGTTGCCAAAATCCCATCGTCAGGCGGTTTTGTTACATCTTGAAGAGCTCTGACTCGTCCTTGTCGGTGCATCACGAGATTTGCGAGCAGCGCGAACATCTGCTCATCTTAGTACTATGTGATGAGCAGATATCCGGCTAAGGCTGAGTGTGTGACATGATTCTTGCAGTCTGTGATGGAAAGGGTCACGAATCATGCATGATGAGGGTTTGAAAAGTGGCATGGTGAGGGTTACGAGGATGACAAGTGGAGTAGAAAGAGGTGGACACTTACGTGCCAGAATTTATGGTCATGGAGACCTGCTGAGAAGTTAGTGTTGTACTAGAATGGAATTATAAACACCTGATTGCTCTGGGCCGGGTCCCGGGAATACAACGCCGAATCTCAGTTGCAAATATCATGACCCAGTCCCTGACCCTGTAACTTCCTCGCAAGTCTGGAACCAGCTATCCGGTCGTGGTGTCGAGCCATGATGTAAATTACAGTTCCCCTGATTATCAAGAACTCTCGAGGAGTCAGTTTTTCTAGTATTGAACCGTACTGAGACACACCCTCATCGACGCGTACTGTACGGGTATACAAGCACCTGCTCCTCACTTCGCGGAATTTGTGTTCGTCCAATCTGAATCATATATTCCATCAAGAGGATTCTCTATCCTGTTTGTTCTCTATCTCTAATCTCGTCGTATTGTAATATATTCCAGTCGAGTCCAATGACAAATATGCTAAAATGGTTGCCAAAAGGTGCCACGCAGTAGACTCGCGTCCACTCTACGAAGTTTACAAGACTCCAGTGTACGACAATGCGAAAAGCAGTCGTTCTCGTAGGTGCTAGGCAAAGTTTCCCGATTGGTTACCTTTCGCCTTGCAAAGTACCAAAACGAACCAGGGTTCCTTCACCGGGTACATCGAATATGAGAAATATCAGGAAGGGCCGAACACAAAGCTTGGAATGTGATTTGTTGGGGCAGATGTTGTAGGTCTTACTGCCCTGAGTGGAAACACGTACAATGCCACTTATTCGTTGTCATGTGCGCGTGAGACATGTTGCCTATTTAGGTCAATACTAGAGAATGTTCGCTTTAACTCTTATCTCCAAACGGAGAACACTCTAAAGAAAAGGCAAATATCTGATTTGTCCCTTAGCAGGCACACACTTTGGTAACCAAGTCTTGCCTAAGTCTACGATGCCAATGACGGAAAGCAATGAGCTAGAGCTCATTCTAGCCATCACTCGATGAGCTATATGAGATTCCACTGCAAATTGAAGCCGTAGAGGCTAGGCTAAGTCTACAACATCATCGGAAGAAGATAATCTCACAGCAGGACAAACGTGTTAGTTTGCTAGGATAACATCCATTTGTGTAAGAACAACCCCTACTGCTCCCTTTGCAGACCCTCCTCGTCTCTCTACAGAAGTTTCAAGCCCAGGTCACTTACTCCCCCGGAACTGACGAGGTACTCTTTGACCATGACCAAAGCTGGACAGAAACAAGCAATCGTCCAAACAGCCAGGGAAACAGGGCGGGCTTTAAAAACCTTCCATGTGAATTGTGTCAATCATCTAAGAGAACTTCCTCTGAAGCTTGCACTTATGTTAATTATGGTCCGCTCTTCAGCTCTTGAAAAGATGCAAACTGCAACATGAAACTGAGTACAAGGGCATGGGCGTACGATTGTGTGCCGTGTAGAAGACTCATATCTTTATTCAGGCTCAGTAACACTCGTAAGGCAGGTGGTGATGATTCCAATAAGCGCATATTTACAGTAAATTTCATCTATGCACACAGAGTAAAGCCGAGACGTGAAGGTGAGCGGCAAAGGTGGATCTCTACCTGCCGGCTGCTCTGCCCACTTCAACAGGACTACTCGCTATCGTACAAAAAATCGCCCATCATCTAAGGGCGAAAGCAGATCGCATTTACACTTAACAAACTATGAAGAAAAATGAAAAGAATGACCTCTCCAAGCTATGCTCTGGATATTTACAAGAATCGTAGCTGATCTGGCTGTATAAAGCCAGACGACCGACCTATCAAAGCGACAAACCATATCTCAGCATGGCCTGGCTCACGCTAGGTAATATTAATTTACAAGTTGGACCATTGTAGCAGTTCTTGCTCAACTCCAAGCCGAGAGATGTGCATCTGACATCTGATGTGCGGTCAGCCGGTGTCGTTACTAGTATACATACTCGGTTCAATGAATGGTTCGAGAAAAAATGGTTAGGTGGGGTTAGTCTAATGTCGGCGCGGTGTGACATTCTCAAGGCGTGAAACAAAAAAGAGACAGAGGTCGTCGTCCGTGTTGTCGAATGAGTTCGGCTTCTTCGGCCGCCTTGGCAGCCTTCTCCGCTCGTTTAGCTTCAGCTATGGCCTTCTTCTCCTCGGCTTTCTTGTGGGCTTTGGCCATCTCGTTCTCCATCTTCTCCACGGCCTTGGCTCGTTTCTCTTGCAGTTTCATCTGCACCAATCACCAATGCACAGTTCAGCTTCCAAGCGAGCAGTCCATGAAGTCAAAATTGAGCATGCAAGTGTCAGATCATCTCTACATTTACGAATCTTTGATACCCGAGGCGAATAACCACTGAGCACGAAAACAGGACACCAAAACGTAGCCACTCACCTCCACTTTCTTCAGACTCACCGCCGCCTTCGCCTTCTTGTGATCTTCCCACGCCATGATCCTGGTCTCCTCTCGTTTGTATCTGCATAGAGGAGAAGAAAAGGTCAGAGGGAAAACTGGCAACATATTCTCCACGCCAGTATTCATCGATGGCACGTTCCAGAGCTCTTCGGTCGAACGAATCAAATCGCAGTGCGTACCTGTTGAAGAATTCGGAGTTCTTGGCTTCTTCCCACGCGACGGCCTTCGTGTGGAATTTCTCTTTTTTCACCCTCTCCATGGTCTGCTGCCTGTTACTGGGTTGCTTGGCCAACCGCAGTTGGTTCACGTCTACGCCTTCCAGAGGAGTCGACGGCGTTTGTTCTTGGGCGAAATTAGAGTTGAATTGCGAGTCTTCCGGCACCGGTACAACCGCGGCCGTCTTCGTCGGCCCTTCGCGTTTTCCTCCGCTCACAAACTGCGTCGACGCTCCCGACACGGGCCTCGACTGCACTTCGTAACGCTCTTCTTGCTTCGTGGCCATCTGCGCATGCGACGAAACTGCAGCACCATCTGACAGACATGATCATACGCAGTCAGAGATCCTCCCGTGCAGGCCTCGATACTCACTCGATCACAGGCTCAATGAACATGACAGTCACATTAATCTTCCCAATCCGATCCCGCTCACCGGAATTGATCCACTTGGTCCCGGCGACGAGGGGCGACGAGGCTCGTACCTGTTTCGTACAGAGGTTGAAGCGTTCGTCTGCTTTGGTGAGGTCTCGAGGGCCTTCGGTTTTCGGCGCCTGGATCGAAATCTCGGGCCGGAAAAGAGGACGGCGGAGACGATTCGATCACGGGCTTGGCTTTCATCTTCCCTTTCTGATACACGGACTCGGCCGCGAACTCTCCGCTGCCGGTGATCTGGATCAGATTCATGCCTTCGCCGCCGAATCGGCGCTCTTCGAAAACCGAGGCCGGCGACGAGACGGCGGAGGAAATGAAGCCCGCTTTCTCGTTCACTTCCTCCGTGATCGAGTCGTCGTTGTCCGACGCATTGTCGTCTGCGCTCTCGATTATGGTGGCGATGGGCTTCGAAGCAGGCCTGAATGCGTTGACCCCGTCATCTCCGAATCTCCTCTCCTCGTACTCGGGGGCGCGGAAGTCCTCCAGCTGCTTGCCTCGGATCTCCTCGTCCATGGTGCCAAGGCCGTGGAATGTTACTCTCCTCTGTGGTAGGGCGTTCGGTCCTCCTCCGTACACGACCATAGCTTTCTCGAGCCCTCGCGGAGGCTTCAAGTAACTTTCTGGAGCCACACCAGACGTTTTTATTGCCGTCGAAACCGCCACTGAGTAGTTGTCCGTCTCGGCTGGTGCGGCTGTAAGACAAGCAAACATTCCACCGTCAGAAGAGTGACGAGATTGGAAGGATTGAAATGTGGCTTGATCTTGTTGAGCAATCACAACAATCTGTGGCATCGGTGCAATCGCATCGTTTTCCTAGACTTCTCCCCGTTTCCGCCAGGCCAGAATCTGCTAAGCGAAGAAACCCATCCCTCCCTGAAGATTTCATGGAGCTCCGTCGAAGACCTGTCTATACCTTCTGTTATGGGTGGGAACTTGGTCGCCAGAAATACTGGCTTCTCTTCAGTCGATTGGTCACAAGATGTGATCTCCGTTTGAGTGGGACGCTGATCGTCGGCCTTCGGTTGCACACCACCGCCTTTCCCCGCAATGTCTATCCACGGTGTCAACTTGTTCCTCTGCAGAACAACACAGACTTAGCACCATGAGCGACCGCCCGACTCCGCTGTGGAAATAAATGACTCAAAGTTCTGAAACCCTTAGCTGTTTCATCTCATGACAGAACCAATCCACTGCAGTGTTATCCTTGTAGCTCGCAAGAAACGAAAGGTTCACTTCACTCTCGGCCCATTCATTGGAGGCGCAATGTCGCATCTCCAAGTCATGAACGTAGACAAACGGCTGGACATGAGCGAGGACTCTTGCGAGCCGTGCATTTATGCAGTTCTGTGCATTGTGATGGCTCGAGCGTAAGACTGTGCGGGCTGAAGCCCCGCAGGCCTTTCGCCCTGTAATCGATGGCCTCTTGACACAATGCGCTAAAACTTTCACCCATTGCACGAAAGCTTCTTGCGACCATGAGCTTATGATCATGGCTAAGTGATGCTGATGAGAGTGCATTCGTCCGCTCGGACTGACCAATTTTTGTGCACTGCCAAAGACGGAGATGTGATTGCGAGCAAAGATGAACAGCCTCCAAGTACCTGGAATGTTGGAGACTCGGGGGTTGCATCACCGAAGGCTTGATCGACGTCCCCGTCCGAAGGAGTAGCGATAGCTCGATCGGACGACGACTGAGAAGTGCGGGGGGAATCGGTAGGACTCCGCCCGCGCACGTGCCCAATGACAGAATTGGGGCTGGACTCGAGCCATGCTTTGACGGCCTGCTGGATTGTTCGTGAACGTGTGTTGTCGGGATCATCGAAGCTGGGCTTCGGAGTGATGGGCGAAAGCTCCTCGTGCCACCTCACGTTACTGGAGCGGATGGGTCGAGAGTAGACGGGAACATACTGACTGGGCGGAATGTACCCGGAGCACTTCGTCGCTCTCTGCTTCAAAGACATGGCGCCGCCGAAGTCTCGCAATGTTGCACCTCCTGTGTCCGAATTCGGCACACGCGGTCCGCCAGAGGCCGATGAATGTACAGTACAGTACCGCAAGGGAGAGCCCGAGAGGCTCGACTGCTTCACTCCGGGGACCACTCTCTGCGAATTGCCATGAAAGATGTCGGGGGCTGGGCCGGAAACGCGTGCCAACGTCACAGCGAGACCAGCTCTTCCATTCTCGCCCTCACTCACTCGCCACTTCTGGACCTGTGTGCGTGTATGCGCACCAGCCTGAGATTACAACCTCGTGCGACAGCGAGGAGCACGAAAGCACGAGTCGGTTTTGACACTCACTCCGATCATATAGCGATAAAGCCGGGCAGAGTGCGAGCACTGAGTGATCCGCTGATCGCCCGCAGCACAATCAATAAAAGGACCAAAAGGCTCTCCTCTCCTCAGAGAGAACGACAGAATAGCGCTCTGCTCTGCTATCTATAAATGTCAGACGCTTTCTTCTCTTGAGCGGAATCTTGGCGTACTGTCTTCGATCTATAATATCCTCCAGCAAGCTCTGCGATGTCCAGCCCGCGCACAGTGATTATCGCGTCGCACGATCATGCTAAGCACCATCTCACATATAATCAGATCGAGCCCACCCGAACCGACCGGACGCGACCTGCTCCTTTGGAATCCGACTGCAGCGGGGGACTCTCGCAGCTACAGGACGCTAAGCAGTCTGCTTCACTAAATACTTTAAGCGAAAGGGGGCCGGTGGAGTGAAAAAGTGATATACATAAAATTACAAATAAAATCCACAACTCGTCCGGCAGTCCCGATTCAGAGCTCTGGGCTCCCTCGTTGTCTCATTCGAACCGCAATCGGACACCTACAATGAATTAGACACAGATTCGAGATTGGGTCAAGAACCCGCGGGCGACTTGGAGCCCCAGGCAGACAACTCGGACGCTGTGTGCTTCCCGTCAATGCGTCTTCAAGATGCCAGGCGGGTAACGCAGTGCGATCTATGTACAGATTTGCAAATTGATGGCTCTCAGAAGCGTCGACAGCGGGATTACAGTGATCAGGACGCTAGATAAACTCGGCAGTTTGCTGTGGATGGAGGTTCGCGCAGCCTCCCGTCGGAGTCAAGTTGGGTCCATCTGCCCCTTCCCCTATCTATATCCTCGGCCCGCCCTCTGGCCCTCTGGTTAGCCATTCTCGTCGCTCCGCGTGTGTCCTTCCCCCGATGGCCGAAGTTTCCTTCGTGGTCCCTCGAACTCCACCATCTCCCTCTCTCGCTATGTGTTACGCGGCCCCAAGGTCCCTGAAAGAAATGAGCCATGCTTTCATTGCACACTTCATTTCGGTTTCATGATGATACTTACGAAGTGAATGTCGATCGAACACTTTTGTATCTTGTGACCCAAACGGTATTGAAGACAGCCCCTCCATACCAGTGAGATCTGCCTAATAATGCACATCTGTGTATGGCATAAATGTGTAGTCCTCTTCAACAGCAAAATGTCTGAAACATTTCATCTTTCCTTTCGTCATGATACCAACTTTTCAGGGATGCTTCGATTGGAAAGCTGAACGGCTATGATACTTCCAACGTTCGCGCAAGTCAAGCTTTGATTGAAGGAGGACTTGACTCGTAGGATCTTCAGCTTGAGTTGAATGATGACGATGATCATCCAAAACTCAAACGAGCATGTTGACACGGTGTCAAGTTATTCCCAACTGCTTGCATTCAAAAGTTAAACGATGCGCAATGCCAACGTTGAAATTCGTTAAAATGAGGCAAAGTTCGGCATGAGTGAACTGACCATAAGTACGACGGCCATTATAAACATGTTTCTTTTATCATACAAAGTGCAGCAAACAGACTCGGAACTACTAATCATTGAGGCTTCGCAACTACTTACACTGAGCCATATGTTTGTATCCTAAGGGATATACATCCTATGACAGGGTAACAGAATAATGTCATAACTACATCTGTAGAATGTTGTAAGGTGTCCATAATTTCCGATCACAAGTTCTTTGCTACAGCCATTACTTCTGCCCGAAAAGAGATGATTGCCCACCATGAATATGTTTTAGCTGCATGACTGGCAGTAGTTAACATTCAAGACACGCCATATTCTTTGACCACAAGACATCCCCACAAAACTCAGTTCGATGCATCAGAATTATTCGAACTGGTATGGTCAAAGAAGAAGTTGCGTGTGAACACAGAATTCAAAACAATGAACATGACCCAAATCGTGGACCTGATGCACATTAGGATGGGATAGTATTTCATTCACATGTGCCTCGCATGTACTGGCCTCTTTTTAGGACCAGGTCAAATGTTTTCTGTTACCCCTAAAATGTGTCAACTGTGTAAACTTTCATATATGTTGCTGTTTTGGCAAGGATTCAACGAACCAAAGCTGTAGCCCCTTGAAACCTTTGTCATGGAAGCCTGATTGATTTCGATAAAGCATAAGTTTGTGCCTTATGAAGCACAAACTTACTTCGCATCTATCTTCATCGGAAGCTGGTAACCACGCTTGTGATATTTTGATAGCCTTATCGCCGCTAAACTAATGCCCACTCGAACTCTAGTATTCGCTCGAATATGTATCAGTTCAAAACCTGTAGTGACGATGGGGTGGGTTCATCTGTCGATAATCAACTTGCTGTACCTTCCTAAGTCCTTTTCACCTTCGTGTGAGCCCTTGTCGTATTTGACAAGTAAGAGGAAATTGCGGAAGGATCGAGATAATCTACCTGCTCCATTACTTCGATGACCAGCTTGGCAATGTGTATTGCACTGTATGTCAGACCGTGGGTTAAGGTCAGTGCTTTATTTCTGTGCGATCACCCATAAATTATGGGTGATAAATTATGGTAGGATTATGGGCCATAATCCTACCTTGTACCAAGAAAGACATCTAGAACAAGTCAGGTCTGCAGTTGATACATGCAGTTCGCACTTGCTAACACTACAGAAACAAGACCTCATGGGACACATCTTTAATAGAAGAGAAAGCTGGAGCTAGCATGTAATGTAGGATGAGATTCAGATCCTCATGACTTTCTACAAGCATCTAAATTGAAGTAACAAGTCTGGTGTTGCTTGAGCCCATCTGCATGTGACTCTGCTGTGTTATATAAATACTCACACATATACAAACATACATAATTTTGTGTTCGACTTTTCATATATCAGCTGCATGAGCTTACAACAATTCTACCATTTTCTTCTGCCAGGATCCGGAGGAGATTACATTAGCAACAGGCTTTATATACCTGTAACGCAGCTTTCAACTACAGTGGATTTCTTCACTTCCCAATGAAATATCTATGGTACTGGTCCTGCAGCTCCCCATACAGGAGCATGTGGAACATAACAATTATGGAGGGAGGTCGTCGGGGTCCACACGGGACGTGCCCGGGAAAGCTCGCTCATGAGTCGTGCTCTCTGTCAAGGTTGGGCCTGAGACGCCTGACCCGCTTTGGGTGCCACAGTGTACAAATGATCAACGTCTGTCCATCACGGGTTCCAATTCTGCAGGGTAAAGTTCCCATGCATCAATCGAAAGCCGCCACATCCGACACCCATCCTTTCCCTGCTGACAAGGCCCCTCGCCTGACTCTGCGGTAGGCTCCACGGAACACCGCCCACATCTGCGATTTTATCCCGTTCCTTGTAAGGTCAAAGGGCATCGGGTAACAGAATCGATTCACGCTCCGGGAACACTCAGCCTACCGGTCCGAGCTGTATTCCCCATCCCCCCACACTGAACCTCCATACACATTTTCCCCAAAGCCTGGGAGATCTCAGCTCACCATCCACGTCATCCCCAACTTTCACGCGGCCAAAATAGTAGCAGATCAGCAGCTATTGTCCAACTGGATCATTCTCTCATTGTCCGAACTAGTTAGTCCTCAGGAGGTCATTTACTCACTTGACTCATCATTGAATGCACCAGTTCTATATATCCACGTCGGTGGTTATGTGACAGGTGGACCCAGGATGGTTTTCCGACATCACGTACTTGTGGACCTCTCGCTAGCAGAACGCAGTCTCAGGTGGCATGCCACGTGTTTTACTTGCCCAGTCAGGCTTCATGATCCATGATACACTGTAAGTACTCTGCTTGGGACCTCTCCTCTTGATCAAGGAACCAAGTATTATAGGAGTGACACCTTGACGCCCTGTAGAAGAGTGCCTGGAGAGTGGACATTGCTCACCGTATTCATACGAATGAATAGAAAATTTCACATAACATCTTATTATAGAAAATTTCACATAACATCTCATGATAGAAAATTTCACAGGAAGGCCTTGCACTTAACTGCAACATGAAAAAAATTCGAGAATTTCCACGTGATCCTCGAGAAGGCCAAAGCGCAGATTGTTTCATTACTTGCACTGTTTGATAGCAGATTCATCGTGTCGTTCGGATGAAGGACTTTCGCCCCGTATCGAGGACGAAAACCAAGAAGTCTGTGCCCCAAAGTACAGCGACATCCCATTCTCCCTGCTGCTTTGTCAACCTCATGTTTCACGTAACTCTCTAGCCAGCACTCATAAACTAATTACTTAACTATCCATACTTACACTGCAACGTAAAATGTTGTAGACACTTAGCTGTCGGTTTTTGCTTAAAGCGAGCGCACCTTTTGTTTGGATCGTGGAGAGCAGGCATAATGATATCTCGTGCCCTCCCATCACCCGAGATGAGGCTTCAAGTCAAGGACTCATGCATGAATATGCGTTGGCTTCAAAGACAATTTGTCACAAATTTGCCTGTAACGTCCAGGTGGGCGGAGCACTCAGACTCTCCAGACAACAAGGAAGACAAAACTGATTACAAGTACCTTAGCTTGCACAGTTCAAAAGTGTATAAGAAGAAGAAGTGCACAATGCTTAGGGCTTTGCATCGAAGATGATTTGTCAAGATATCCTGTGATCTCAAGGCAGAGATGGGTGACATTCTGCGAAAGGAGAGGGCAGTCTCAACAAGTTCAGCTGAGAGAGGGAGTAGTTCAGATCTTACCCGGAACGCATAGGTGCCAGTCCATCGCCATGAGACCGAGGAAATTACTTGATGGGACCCTCTCGGGTCAAAAATTATTTACTCCGACCCAATAAGTTTCGTTTTAACCCAAGGGCTCACCGTCTCCAAGTTTTAAAACTTATCCCTGACAAACATATATGAAGTTGAGGGTTTATAGACTCTGAAAGTTTCTATTTGATCTTTTGAGATATCAGAATCACTAATCAGAAAATATCATCACTCCTGGAACAAGTGCCAAACAAACTCTCTTTACGATAAATGTATTCATTGTCCCGACTTCATACCATTGCAAAAACTCGGATTGGTCCAATAATTAATTTGTGTTAGGATAGAGACCCATAAAGTCAATACCTCCATGAAACCCGGTACGGGCAGTTAACTTTCTTGCAATGTACAAACCTTTCCTCAAACTTTACCATGCTTCCAAACCAATATGTAAGTTGGACAGACAGGAATATCGTACCTACAGAAATATCGTACCACTTGGGCATCCTTAACCCTGAAGGCCCTCCGACGTCGTACTTAGCCTCTAAATCTGGAGACAACCATAATACTGGTAAGGTTTTATAAAGTACTCCGTAGGTATGTCTTATATTAAGAATGTCATTGTAACTTGTAACTTGCCATCAATGTCGGTGCTTTCAAGGCTGTTCTCATACTAGACTAGTTCTGCTGTGGTCAATCTCTTAAGCTTTTAAAGTTAGACAATAGAGTTGCTCTTAGCATAAACTTTAGATGTGGGAAGACCGACGCGCATGCCAAGATAACCTTGAGAGAATGTGGCTTCTCAATTTTCTTGAGACTGAGAATATCGTAGGGAGATCTTACCAACTCATGGAGTGTCTCATCGCAATTCATGGTGACTAACACTCTGCAACTCTACACCATACTCTATTTTAATCCAGTCACTTCCACACAACACGGAGTTCGTCTCGGACACTCGTATCCAGTGTCTAATGAGGACTTTACTTTGTACAACTTTGGTTATTCGATTTTATTCAAGCACCAGTTTAGTTTATAGATCTGCTGGAACGTAGCACACACACACACATGTTCACTCAG